TAATCACTACCTTACCCTTCCTGAACCACATCAACAAACGAACTATGGGCTGCGCACCTGTGCCCTCACGGTAAGTCAATCGGGCCAAAGTGTCTGCGCCCAGGCCCATTCAGAGATTGGCCTGGGACCGAATTGGTTGAGCCTGCCCAACCACCCAGGAGTAAACGTGAGGTCTCAAGAATTATTTCTGATTCTCACGAATATGGAGGATGAAACCAACTGGCGCATGGCAACTGTCTGGCGCCCACCAAACTTTGCCAAAATTGACGAACTCAGGCCATATTGAGATTCAGGGGCCCGCCTTCACTTAGGGCGGGCTCATGCTTGCTGAAAGGGCCCTACAGGGGCATGCCAAGGAGCCCACTCGTAGCAAGGCCTTGTCGAAGATCCATGCCCACATGGGGTTTACAACAGGCTCTACTTGGGCCCCTCAGCCTGGTCTCATAATCCTATAAACAGGCATTGGCACATATTTGCAGGCCCGCCTTCACTTAGGGCGGGCACGACACTTTCAGACACTGCCGAGACACTGCCGAGGGACTAAATCCTCGCAAATCAATCAAATCGCTTCAATCAAATCATAGCAAAGTAATCACTGCGACCCATCAATCCATCAATCCATCCATCCATCAATCAATCGATCAATCACAGGAGATGGATTAGACCAACTGCTCAAATGGAAGAAACAATCAAGTCACACAAACTAATGAATCAGAGTCATTTTAATCCAACCCATCCCATCATTCACATCCCATCCACTAATTAATAAATCTTACAATCCAACAATCAACCAATTACATTCTTATCGAAACAATCAATCAACCATTCTATAACCTTATCAATCAATCAATCAATCAATCAATCAATCAATCAACCAATCAATCAACCAATCAACCAACCAATCAATCAACCAATCAATCAATCAACCAATCAATCAACCAACCAGCCAATCAATCAACCATCAACCAAATCATTTTATGACAGCGATCGCCCGATTCCTGATTGCTTGCTTGATTGAGATTATTGATTGATTGACTGATTGATTGATTGATTAATTGATTGATTGATTGAGATTATTGATTGATTGATTGCATGGTGATTTTTAGTGATCAGTTAAACCTTTGCTGATATGATTGATTGTTTGAATGATCGATTATATAATTTTTGGTGATCAATTAAACCTCTGCTGATATGGTTGACAGGCCCTGTTCTGTTCTGTGATTACTTGGAATTGCGTGGTGGTAGCCCTCACCGAATCAATCAATCAGTTAAATTAATCAATGAACTAGTCCATCCATCAGTTGATCAATCAAGTCAATGCATGCATCCATCAGCTACTCGATTAATTAAGCGATCAATCAATCAATCAATCAATCAATCAATCAATCAATCAATCAAACAAACAATATATCAAAAAATCAATCAATCGGTCAATTAAGGGATCAATTGATTTACACCAGTTTCTAAGCAACCAACCTAGTGGACGTTTTCTCCCTGCCTGGCGTAATTAATCAATCAATTAGAGATTTAAGAATGAATTAATTAATTTATTAATAGAATTAAATGGATCAACCAAACAAGCCCTCCATGTCTACGTGTTTCCGAGGCACAGAGTTTTCGCTAAGTTGTTAAATAATACATATTTGCTAATAATTTATTATTTTATTAAATTAGTACGTTTTTCCTTGTACAAGGGCCGCAAATGGGCTGCCTTTGCTTTCAGTGATTAAACCGGAGCCGATTCGAACCCTTTTTTCTTTGTTTTTTAATTAACGGGAAGGGGCTTTTTTTTTTAAATAAACGGGAAGGGGCTTTTTTTTCCTTAATGGGAAGGGGCTTCCCAGCATTGTAAATATATGATAATTTGCAAAAAAAAAAAAAAAAAAAAAAGTGCCGATTTCTCAACGGGGTTACAATTTTCCACTTGGAAATTTTCCAAGTAAAACAACACCCCGTTGATGTCCCAAAAAAAAAAAAAAAAAAAAAAAAAGAAAGACAGAAAAAAAAGAATGTTGCATTATCGGTTGGAGGAATGGCGAAAATGAGGTGCATTTGTCCGTGTTTGCGTGAATTTCTTACTGATATAATAACACAAATTATACAATAATATAATATACAATAATATAATGTACAAGAATATAATATACAATAATATAATATACAATAATGCAATAGGTAACAATGCTTTAATAAAAGACACAATATACTGTAATAAGATGTAGAAAATTTAATTAATAAAGTTGCAATAGAATAATTTTCCATAATTATAAGTTTGATTATTCGTTGGATTATATTTATTATATTATTTTATTGTATTACATGATTAATCGTGTAATGCTCCATCCATCCTCTCGTGTGAATATTTCCAGCGATGATGGGTATGCTGGACTGTTGCTGCTCATCCTGAAGCCGAACTTCTCGTTGACCTCATCATTTCCGGAAGGTCCAAAGAAGAGCGGAAGAAGGGGGACGACGAGAAAGAGGAGGAGGAGCAGGAGGAGGAGCAGGAGGGGGAGGAGGAGGGTGAACTCGAAGATGAACTCGAAGATTAAGAAATCACGCACAGCATTGGCCAAATGCAAGTCTCACGTGCCTGCCCTGTCCATTAATGAAGCCTTACCGCACGTGAGGTCCGCCCTGTCCATTAAGAAGGAGAAGACGAAGAAGAAGCGCCATATCCATTGAGAAGAAGAAGAAGAAGAAGAAGAGGAGGAGGAGGTGGAGAAGAGGAGGAGGAGGAGGAGGAGGAGGAAAGGAGAAGAAGAACGAGCAGGAATCGGAAAGGGAAGAAGCCTCGTGATGGGAACAGAGAAGGAAGAAGTTTCCGCGACAACCTAAAAGCAGCGCAACACTGCAGAAGTAAAAAGGAGGAGGAGGAAGAACAGGAGGAGAAGGAGAAGGAGGAGGAGGAGGAGGAGGAGGAGGAGGAGGATAAGGAGGAGAGTATACTCGAAGAAGAAGAAGAGGAAGAAGAAGAAGAAGAAGAAGAAGGTCCGAGGCAGGAACAAAGCAGGAAGAAGTGTGTTCAGCGACGACCTCAAAGCAGCGGAACACCTCAGAAGGTAAAAGAGGAGGAAGAGGACGAGGAGTAGGAGGAGGTTAGTCATACAAGAAGAAGAAGAAGAAGAAGAAGAAGAAGAAGAAGACTTCTGACAAGCAATGGCGAAGAAGCTTCCGAGCAAGAATGACGACGAGATCGTTACACATCCGCATGTCCTTGGAGTAGGAGTAGGAGAAGGAGGAGGAGGAGGAGGAAGAGGAGGAAGAGGAGGAAGAGGAGGGAGAGGAGGAAGAGGAGGAAGTGGAGGAAGAGGAGGAAGAAGAATTATAGCAACGGCAAGAGGGCATTTGTCATCGGGAAGAAGTCTCAAGCGACGAGCTGACGGCACAACAGCAGCGTAGAGGATGAAGTAGTGGGGAAGGAGGGGGAGGATTAGGAGAAAGAGAGGAAAGATTAGGAGTAGGAGGTGGAGGGTTAGGAGAAGGAGGTGGAGGGTTAGCAGAAGAAGGTGGTGGAGAATCAGGAGAAGGAGGAGGTGGAGTTGGTGGTCCTGCAGGAAGAAGCAGACGGTATGGGGTCCAGATTTGCTATTTATGATTTGAAGCCCAAAACCGACTGCAGAAATCACGTGGAGGCGGCCGAGGTCGGAAACGTTAAGGCGCTTGTGAAATTCTCGAGAGAACGAAACTTCGACGTTGATCAGAAGGTGAAGTGAAAAAAAATGTCACTACCCCACCCCGTCCTCCTCCGCAGAAAAAAATAAAAAGAAGAAGAAGAAGAAGAAGAAGAAGAAGAAGAAGAAGAAGAAGAAGAAGAAGGGAAGAAAAGGGAGGAGGAGAAAAGGAAAAGAAAGGGAAAGGAAACGGATGGGCATCTCTTGATGGGGGAGCCCACACCTACTCCGAATAATACCCTACTCAATTTGATTTATCGCTTAATGGGGGTCACAGCTACAGCTATTTCTGTAATACCCTCCTCAAAATTTTATATCCCTTGATAGCGGGGCAGGGGAACGGGGGGGTACACCTACCCCTAATATAGTACCCTAGCTAATTTACTAAATTGTATCGCTTAATGGATCTATATATTTATATATATATATATTACCGGGCAGTTCTGTTTGTGACGATATATATATATATGTGTGACGATATATATATATATGTATGACGATATATATATATATATATTTTTTTTATATATATTTATTTATTTATATCTATATATATATATATATAGTCAACCGGGGGATTCTGCAGACTGTCGAGGGTTCAGCCTCCTGATGAGTAGGTAGGTGAAACTTCGACGAAACAGTTTGTCACAGCCGGTCGTTTGTTGTCCTCTTCTCCCTCTCTGCCCACCGTTTACCGGGCAGCTCTGCTTGACTATATATATCGTCACAAACAGAGCTGCCCGGTAAACCGTAGGCAGAGAGAGAGAAGAGGACAACAAACAAGGGGCTGTGACAAACTGTTTATATATATATATAGATATATATACGACGAAACAGTTTGTCACAGCCCCTCGTTTGTTGTCCTCTTCTCTCTCTCTGCCTACGGTTTACCGGGCAGTTCTGTTTGTGACGATATATATATATATATATATATACTGTTTGTGACGATATATATACTAGTATATATCTGATATCCTAGCGACAATATATATATATATATAACGCCCTACGCCTGACCTTGATGTAGACTAAGGGACTTGCTTTTTCTTTCACACTAGTGGCCGCTGTATCCAGATGTAGTTAGGGACAGATTCAGTCCAGAAAGTCGCGTTGTGAGTGTGCCAAGAAGAACTCTCCAGTCGCACTCCTGCTTAGGGTTAGGGTTATGGGTATAGGGTAAAGATAACGGCCGGGATCGGGGTAGCAGTTAGGGTTTAGAGTTAAGGGTTTCACTAAGTGCTTCCTCATCATGATATGTTTTTTGTCGACGGTTTTTCTCTTCTTATTTTATTTTATTTTATTTATTTCTTAATTTTTTAATGTGGAGTATGCAGGGGAGTGTCGGGGTCACGGTTAGGGTTTAGGGTCAACGTCGCTGTTCGGGTTTGGCCTCATGGGTATCTCAATACGTGAGTGCCAGGATCGCTCAGGGTAAGGGAAAGGGAGAAACCCTGAGCAGGGGTATCTCAATAAGTGAGTGCCAGGATCGCTCAGCGTAAGGGAAAGGGAGAAACCCTGAGCAGGGGTATCTCAATAAGTGAGTGCCAGGATCGCTCAGCGTAAGGGATCGGGGCAGCGCTTAGGGTTTAGTGTTAAGGGTATGGAGAAGCGCCGGGATCCCTGCTCAGTCACGTCGATCACCTCTCTCTCTCTCTCTCTCTCTCTCTCTCTCTCTCTCTCTCTCTCTCTCTCTCTCTCTCTCTCTCTCTCT